CCCGCCCTTGTTGAGTGCTGCAGGATTGGGCGGGGGGCCCTGCCGTAAGCGTTATGATGACTGCGCCAGTGCCATCATGGAGGACTCGCCCACCAAGTGCGAGTACATGCTCAATGCAATCCCCAAGCGGCTGTGCCTGGTGTGTGGGGACATTGCATCTGGTTACCACTACGGCGTGGCTTCCTGTGAGGCGTGCAAAGCCTTCTTCAAGAGGACTATTCAAGGTATGGTGGGAAGGGAGGGAAACTGAGACATTCACTCCATTGCAAAAGAGGGAGGTGGCCCCAGGCATTGCTGAGACTGAAGCATTCCCCTATCACATAATAAGAGGCAGGGGAGGGTGAATGAAATGCGCTTGACCTTCCATCCCTTTCCTGTGCCTCTTTTTCCCTCCTGCCCTGCCCAGGTGTGGTCCTTCCAAACCAACCTGGATGTGAACTCAGGCTTTGTGGTAGGAAGCTTTGCTGGGTTACTAGCCTGGCTAGTGACTAAATCTGGGCACGTGGCCTGGCTGATCTTGCCTCTGCTCGTGGCCCTGATATGTTGATAATCTGGGTAGCAGGGGAGTGGGGCCTAGGCAAGTTAAGTTTTGCACTCTGAAGCTGTTCATAAGGCCCATTTGAAGAGTAGATGCCCCTGCCTAGGAAGGCATCTCCTTAGGAATCTTGAAGGGAAAGCTCCACCATTAGAGAGGCTCTCACACTGTCCTATCAGTCTTTGTTTGTGGCTATGGACTCAATACAGACTTAACGACAAGGCTGGACAGTGCACTTGGATACTGAGCCAATTCCATGTTCCTCCTTTTACAGCTCCACCAACCCTTTTCTTTAAGATGCAGCTTCTTTAAAGATAAAAATATTATGCACTGAAGGAGATATATAGTTTCTGTTAATCTTACAAAGGATCAGAAAATCCTTTGGTGATTCTGAAAATCTCACTGGTGGGATCCAGCAAAGCAAATAGCAAAGCATTTGTTGACAGTACCCAAAGATGGTCCGAGTGTATTTCCACACACAACACCAAACGTGGAAAAATATAGACAAACTTGCACATATATATCATATACATGAAAAGTGTACAGGTGATTTGTAGTGCATTGCTCCTACTCGTATAATTCATGTATGACATAATGTGTCTCTGTCTGGCAGTCCAGCTTAATCTTAAATCATCTATGCTATAGATGTGCACACATGCAGGTACAGCAACATAGCCAAAAGTGGGAATGCATCCAGGCAAGCTCCAATGTCTGTGGATGCTTGGATGTACTTAAACAAGAAGGCCCATGTGAGAACACGTGCCTGGACACACACACTCCCTGTATTTCCTGCACTGTCTAGTTAAAAAAAAGGACAGGATCATTCACTCTGGAGTGGAAAGTTAATACTGAGTTTGCCCAACATTCCCTTGATTCCTGTGAAATGAATGAAATGCACCCATAGGGAGAGCATTTATTTTATTTTTTGTTCATTAACTGGGTAAGTCACACCTGATTACACTCCACTCCTGAGAGTGTTCAACGCTGGAGTGGACCAAGCAATACAGGGAAGCAGTGCAGCCCAGGTCTCTGCAGAATTGACTATTTCTAGCTTAATTCTTGGATTCCGGATGTCTCCCCTTACTGTTATCCACCCGTGGAAATAATCACTTCTCCAGAGAGACAGCTCCAGAGAGAGCCTGTCTTACTCTCTGACTTTTCCTCTTTTATTATGCCATGTGGAAAGCCTGTTCATCTCTAGGGCACTGGCCTGTACTCTGGCAGAGTTTCTGTGGTTTGTCATTGATAAATCTCCTGTGATTGAATGTGAACTTTTACTTGCACTTCTGACTGTCGGCACTGACTCTGTCCCTCCTCCAGCACTTGGATCCATTCCTAATGCTTCTCTTTGGCACATTCAGGTGCTAAAGGAGGGACAGGGTAGTACACTGAAGCAAAGTCCTAGGGACTCTGTTTTGAGGAAGAGACTGAAAAGTTAACCGCTCATGGGAGCAATACTAGAGCTTCCCTGTGTGGTGGAGCAGAAGATAGGCTTAAGCTGGAGAGATAGGAAAAACTTAGGAAGTTTTGCAGAGTTTTCAGAGGTATTCGAAAGAAAATGATGCAGTGGGACAGTAACTGGAGCCTGTATCAGCCTGGGTGATACATCAGCCGATTTCATCCTAGCAAGGGAGAACGCCTCCCCTCAGCTGCCCATCCCAAGTGCAGCCATCCTCCCTGTTGTTCCCTAATTGGTTGCCTGTTAACATGTAACAGATGCAGGGAAGGAACAAGTGGAGATTTTTCTCACCCTGTAATCAGCTTGGGCTGGTGGCTGAGGCACCAAAACTCTTTTATCCTTGGGAATGGGAGAGTCCAGTGTGTTGTGCCTGAGGGTAAGAAATGCTGACTATGGAGCTGAAGGCTGGGCCTGGGAGGAGTGGGCAGAAAATAAGGCTGTAGAGTTTGTCTGAGTCAAGAAAATGTGCAGTTCCCAGGGCTCTGCTGCAGTGGGCCTTGGGTATGCTGGAGAAGAGTTTGTGTATCACACATAAAAGACAATGAGTGGAAAATATATTTCCAAAAGATATTCATCCTGCAGCTCTATTACATCCAGTAGCTGGGTTAAACATCTAGCTTTAGTGAGAAAATCTTCCTCCAGGTTGCCTAACATCTATGTATGTGTGTGCAGAAAGCATGCAGATATGTGTGATACATAGTTGCATCCTCTGCTTGTATTAAAAAGTTTTCCATGGTTCTGGTACTTGGGAATGGTTTGAGCATAGAAATGGATCTGGGACCCCAGATTTCTCAGGTGCTCGGGAGATGTGCGAGCTAAAGCCTATCCCATTTAGGGCCTGTGACCTCTGTGGTCTTGGACAAACTACTTCGCTTCTCTGTCCTGGAATACTGAAATCTGCAAAACCAGTGACTATTAAAAAGAGTACTTGATCTGCTGGGTCTACAGCTGTGCATGCTGCTGTAAAATGGGTCTAAATCCTTCCCTAATAATAAGGATAATAAGTCTACTGCAGCCCCCTCTAGGTAGCTCTGATTATGAAGCAGAATTTCATGCAAAGCCCTCCCCTTCCCTCCATATTCCCAGTGACCCCCGTTTCCGTGTTATTAACGCCTGTAAAACCTTCATGGCTTGAGGCAGGAGGATCTTGCAATGGACTCTCCTCTGCCCGTGCTACTGCCACAACAGCCAGAAGAAAAGACACCCAAGCTGCAGAACTTTTTGAGCTGAAGTGTAGCAGAGCCTGACAGCTTTGCACTTCCCCCCTTAGTCAGGTAAGGCCTGATTGTCTTCTCGGACACCACGGGGGCCATTGCTTTTAAGCAGTGAAAAGGAGATAGGCTGAAAGCTAGTAGGCACATGTCTGGTTATCTATGAGGTCAGTACTAGAGCTAGGAGCAGATTTTCCATCAGTAGGATTTTTCCAAGAGAAAACAGAACCTTTACCAGGTCAGATATACCACAGGAAAATTTTGATGATAGGAAAAAAATAAAGTTTGGAAAATCCAATCTATTAATTAACTTGAAGCTGAATTGCAGTGATTAGTTTTGCTGAACCAAGCCTGGATTGCACAACGCATCCTAACCTGCCCATCAGGTTACGGGGAGTCATACCTGTGACCTCTCTCCTCTTGAGTTGCATGACCGGAGGCAAGGACAGGAATCTAGAAATCTATGTCATTTTCCCTTTGCAGCACTGGCAATGCTTGAGATAGAAAGGCAAGGACCTGAGAGGAGGGCACTACAGCACAAGCCATGGGCCTGTTGGCCTTTCTTTCTATGGTGTTTGAACCCCAGAGCTGGACTTCCTGCATTTTGAGGCACAGTCAGAAATTCTAAACTGACCTGAAGCACTTTCTGTCAAGTAGCTTGTCTGACAAAATATTAATCTTTTTTCTTTATCATCACATTGCTTTGTGGGAACTGTGCTTTGGGTCCCCATTATATTCTAGTGGTACTGTACATTTCCCTCTGTGATGCAGGTATCCTCTGTAAGAACACATGCCACAGGCATCATCTGACTTTGAGCATTGTGGAAGGTGCAATCTAGCCAAGACAGGAGAGAATTCAAGTTTCAGGCACCTACAAGTATGCTGCTGTTGGTGTTTAAGATGGACCTGATTTGAAATGAAGAATTTTATATTCATGAAATGAAATGAAATAGATCTGCTACCGGAAAGATGATGCGTTTTGACATTTCTGAATTAAAATATTTTGAATTTCCATTCCATTCCATGGAAATCGTAACTAATCCTTTCATCCAAATTTGGGGCAAAGGCAAATGCTGAAAGGCTTCAATTTTTTGGGGGGATAGAAATTCTTAATCTAACTCCACTCTATTCATTCTTTTAATTGTTTGGTCAGTAGATAGAGCATTATATATCATCTTTTGTTCACCAGTTGTCGTAACTGGTAGGTAGTTTTGCCTTTTCTGAATATTAAGATAGTAACAGTGATATGTAACCATGTAAGCCCTTTATTATTCAACATATTCATAATGATGATTACCCTGGCTGTATTTTTCATCTTCAAATAGTGAAAATTAAGGCTGTTTCTAAAATGTCCCATTAATATAAAATAAAATCTGAAAGCTCAGCAAAATAAATCTGAATTAACATTTCCTTTTCTGATCTTTGTGAATCAACTCACTGTGTACTTTAAACCCATACCTGTAAGTCCATTAGGTGATAAAAGAGGAAGGAAGTGCTTAGAGGAAAGCCAGACAGAGACACATTTACCATCATCATCTTGAATGGGCAGGCTGTGAATCAGGCAAAATTCTGCAAGCACGTTCCAGAGCAACATGCCTGCATCTGTGGATCCCCTGCTTGAGTCTTGTAGGCATCAAACCCAATAAGCATAGCTACACAATTGCTGTACCAGCATGCATTCCCTTCTGCAGGAGCAGCAAAGGGCCTGTGAGATGCAGGAGGGGGCTTCTGCATCCCTACTGTAGCAGGCCATAATGGTCACATATGCTCCTATCCCTCTGTCCTTCTCAGAAACGTGCCTGTGAGTTCTCAGGTGAGAGTACACAGCTGAAAGATAGGACATGTTCTGAGCTTTCCAAAAACTTTTGAGGCGTAACCAGAAAAAGTGCAATATTCCCAGGAGCTGGTGCCTGAGCACTCTCTGTTATCACAGCTCCAGCACTTGGAGTCAGAAAACCATCTCCAGTACAACTTAGCACTTTTAGCCTTGCATTTTTTTTTTCAGTGTATCTGTAGAAA